AACTGCAGTAATAACAGTCATAATTTTCAATTTCGATAAGTTTATAAGACTAAGCTTATGTAACTAATTGAAACACTCACGCTAATAATAACGGGTTGAAATAATGAACACTTGTTGTAAAAATATTTTATCATTTTTTAGAAGCCGGCCTTATTTTTTAGTGTTTTATACAAATGTGTCCCGACTTATAGCTGTTACCAGTAAACATTTAGTGCAAGTATTCGTTTGATCTGACATTAGGTAGGTTTTATTTACAAGTGCAAGTGTTTTGCGAGATGAGAAGGTAGATAAACTTATCGATGAAGTGGAGGCACGGCCCCCTCTTTATAATCTTTGAAAGAGTATTTCGACATTATATTACCGTAAAGAAAAAGTTATGGGAAGACGGAAGAAGTATGTGAAGCTGTGGTGGACAACTGGGGTACACTGCAAACAAAGGAAAGACGAATTAAGGTAAGCTTTGATTAGTAATGTTGTTTATTATCAAACACTATTTACAAAGCAAATTACAATAAATCCATTATAAACGTCCAAAACTTCTTCGTGTAACAATATGCTTTACTGTGTGTTGTAGGGTATTTATGATGGATATTATAAACAACTGTTGTAATTGAAATGAAATGAAATGAAACTAAATGAAGATGATTTGCCCATTTAAACAGGCAAAGTTAGGAATTCAAATCGGTCACAATCAGTTACATGCACAACTCCAAACCTTGTTAATATGAACATTGAAGTGTACAGTTTTTTCAATGTCAGAGTACTTTGTGTAGTTTTTTTGTCCTAGTCACAAACCCGGAATTGTTTTTCACATTACTTCAGGCTAGACCTAGGGGGCCTAGGGGCATTATCACATAGATAAAATCCATTGGTGATTTGGCGGGATGTGAACCCGGGACCTCTGGATCCGAAGTCCCGCGCTCTAACCACTAGACCAGCTCGCTCCCCCTCTAGTACTTTGTGTAGTAGAATGGAATTATTTCCATGAATTTGCAACGGCATTGTTGTCGGTATTATCTGGCTGGGAGATATAATGGTTCGCTGTAGCGTTGCCAGCAGCGCGGTTTCTACCTTGACGGTAATGGGGTAGCGGATTTTTATCCCCCTGGAATTTTACCCCCTGGGCAAACGTGACGTCACAAACCAGGGGGTAAAATTCCGGCCGCGAACTTTTGAGTTTCGCGACATCAGCTCGATGGATTAAACGCGGAATTAAACATATATTTTCACGGTTGTGAGTTTAATTAGAACACATCAAATTATAAAAACCTAGAATGTACGGCCCGGATTTTTACCCCCGGAATTTTACCCCCCGGAATTTTACCCCCTGGCCAGATATAAATTAGTGAGAATGATTAATTATCGTCATTCAGTTTTAATTTAATGGTAAACATTTTATTATTAAGTAGCCTATCTTAATTTATATGTAACATTAACTAATCGGACAGGGTTTTAATATAAATTTTGAGATTCGAGTGTCAGGATTCGATCTTTGAAGCCAACTGTTGGTTAATATGATCAAAATAAAACAGCGAATTCTGTTTACTTAGTTGAGGTTACAAAATAAATAAATAAAGATAGGCTACTAAATAATGAAATGTTTACAATTAATTAAAAACAGAAATAAGAAAATCAATCATTCAATTTCTAAAATCAGCCAGGGGGTAAAATTCCGGGGGGTAAAATTCTGGGGGGTGAATTCCGGCCCGTACATCTTCAGTTGCCTAAACGCTAGTTATATGGACAGGGGGTAAAATTCCGGTTTTTATCGCTAATCTAATTAATCACGCTCTAATAAATAAATAAATAAAGATAGGCTACTAAATAATGACATGTTTACAATTAATTAAAAACAGAAATAAGAAAATCAATCATTCAATTTCTAAAATCAGCCAGGGGGTAAAATTCCGGGGGGTAAAATTCTGGGGGGTAAAATTCCGGGGGTAAAATTCCGGGGGGTAAAATTCCGGGGGTAAAAATCCGGCCCGTACATCTTCAGTTGCCTAAACGCTAGTTATATGGACAGGGGGTAAAATTCCGGTTTTTATCGCTAATCTAATTAATCACGCTCTGACAAATTTCATTAGACTTCCAAATCCGCGGGGGTAAAATTCCGGCCGCGAACAAACTTTTGGCCACTCAGGTTACTACGTCATAGTGACGTCAGCTTTGCCCAGGGGGTAAAATTCCAGGGGGATAAAATTCCGGCGACCCACGGTAATTACTACCTTTACAGAAAAATAAAAACGTCATTTTCGGATTCAGCGTAAAATTTAGGTCATTATGGAAAACAAATCTCACTTTTGCGACTAGTCATGACGTCGGAATAATTACCCAATCTGAGACTGAAAGACAATATAGTTCATACGTTTCAATCAACCCATCTTACAATATAGATTTTGTATCAAACCAAGGCCCACTAGAAAAAACAGGCCATGCTGCAGCATGGGCAGCGCAACACCACGTCACAGTGGTGGATAGTTGTACTAAACTCTTACCATTAAAATTCAAAACCTTACAAACAGCCAGCTTGTTTTTTATTTGGGTCGCCGGAATTTTATCCCCCTGGAATTGTACCCCTGGTCAAAGCTGACGTCACTATGACGTAGTAACCTCAGCGCTCAAAAGTTTGTTCGCCATGGTGGAAGGAAAAAACATAGGTGTGCTATTCCCACATATTCTGACGTCACTCGGATTGCAAACAAAAGATCACCTAATTGTAACTGTCAAATTCGTATATGTATTTGTTTTGATTTGGTTGTTATTGTTTTTATTATTATAAAAACAATAACAATCCAATCAAAACAAATACATACTAATTTGACAGTTACAATCAGGTGATCTTTTGTTTGCAATCCGAGTGACGTCAGAATATGTGGGAATAGCACACCTATGTTTTTTCCTTCCACCATGTTTGTTCGCGGGCGGAATTTTACCCCCGCTGATTCGGAAGTCTAATGAAAATAGACAGAGCGTGATTAATTTGACTATCAAAACCGGAATTTTACCCCCTGTCCATATAACTAGCGTTTAGACAACTGAAGATGTACGGGCTGGATTTTTACCCCCGGAATTTTACCCCCTGGCCCGATTTATCAATTATTAAGAATGATTGATTTTCTTATTTCTGTTTTTATTTGATTGTAAACATTTTATTATTAAGTATCCTACCATTATTTATTTATTTTGTAATCTTAACTTAGTAAACATAATTCGCTGTTTTTTTTTTTATGTTCGGGTTCGGGATTTGCGTTTGTGGCCAACTGTTGGTTAATAAGTACGAGAGGTCGTCCAGTGGTCGAAACTCGACCAAAAATATGTAATGTACTCGCTTTTCTATTTTCACCCCACACTGTAAATAAAACATGTGATTGGAGTTTCTTCCATTTGTTTTGATTTTCTGTTTATATTTCGTTGTTATTTCGTCACCAGCATGGCAACGCATAAGATCCATGTTAATTTCTCAAATTTTTAAACTCATTTTTTGTGCTTATCTTTGAGCCTATTTAAATTTATATAGGGATTCTGCACACCTACAGGAAAATTGCTTTCTAACGGTATGCGCAGATTTACCCCACGATGCACACAAGCTGAGAAAAAAGGTTTTAAAGAAACATGCTTGCCTGTTAATATATAGATAGATAGATGTAAAATAAACTGAGCTGCTCATTTAAATAACAATAGGGTGAACATTTTTCTTAAACGATTTTATTGTACCACCGTGAAAAACAATGTATTTCGTTTCTGTTGTACAATTACACAAAACAAAAACATCGTTTTACCATCCTACTAATATTATAAATGAGAAAGTTTGGATGTATGGATGGATGTATGGATGTATGGATGGATGTATGTTTGTGACAAGTGAACGCGAAAAATACTGGTCGGATTGGGCTGAAATTTGGCATGATGATAGCTCACATTCCCGATTAACATATAGGCATATTCTTATTTCAAAAATCCTTTCGGGCTCCGCCCCAGTGGCTCTGGAGTTTCCCATGTTAACCTTATTATTTTTTTTAACTTTATTTTATTTTACAATCTGTTCAGTACAACTGTGAACAATTAGTAAAAGGCATAATATAAGTAAATGACTTGACCAAGAATCTCCCCAGTGAAAGATTTTGGAAAAATAAATAGTCATATCATATGTAACTAAAACTATGCAAATCGGTATGGGAGTTCAAGAACTTTCACAATTTTTAGTCTGTTGGGAAATTCACCATTGTCCAGCAAGTTAACGGTTAAATTGTTCTGGTGGGTTTCGAGTTTTTCTTGATATTTCTTGCTAATTCTCGTTATTTCTTCAATCACTGTAGGTATTTTTAAATCTCCATGGATTGTTTGATTCGAGACAAACCACGGAGCATCAACTATTCTTCGCAGCGCCTTTGACTGAAATCTTTGAATAATTGCTAAGTTGGATTTGCTTGCCGTTCCCCAAAGCTGTATTCCGTACGTCCAAATAGGTTTGATCATAACTTTGTAAAGTGTGAGTTTATTGGTCAATGAAAGCTTTGATTTTTTGCCTAGAAGCCAGTTGAGTTTACGAACCTTCAAGTCCATTTGTTGTCTTTTACACCAAATATGTGTTTTCCAGGTTAATCTTTTATCCATGTGGAAACTCGTACGTAAACTAGACTTGTTTTAGTAAAACCATACAATTTTGACTTTGAGGGGGGGTAGGGGGGAAAGCACCGGGGGATTTTTCGAGACTTTTGGGGAAATGTATATCTAGTTGGGTACTAACGATTGGTATATAGTTTTGCCTGTCTCTAATTTGTTTCGACACAAAACCTTTATTGACTGGGCTAAAACGATCGGGAATATAAACTTTGGATCAAACGATTTTGGAACATTTTTGAAGATGGTAGCAACAACGTGGTGGTGGTGGCAACAATGACTGCGTGATTGGATTGGATTGGATTGAACATTGAAGTGAAATGTCAGTGGAGTGAGTGTGAGTGTGAGCGTGTCATCGTCTCATGTCTGTCAGCAGAACTGGCCCGTCTGCTTGGCTACTGTCACTCCTCAATCTTTGTCCCGTTTGATCTTAGGTTATCAACATTTTAAAGCTTTGCGTTGGCTAATTTTTTTTTACAGAAACAGAATAAATCCAAATATCTAAAAATTGTTCTTTAAAACCCAAGATTACCAAAAAATGTTGCTAATGGTTAGGCCGATTGTGTTTGTTTGTTTTAGAGGTTAAGTCCAATCCCCTCTTTAAAATGGAAACCCTATTTTCTAAATATGTGCACATCACATTAGTTGTTGCTTTATACTGGTAAGTTGTATCATACATTTTGTAAGCTTACCGCCAATAATAATTGTTGTGCGTTAATTCAAGGAACTAGGCTAACTTAGCCTAGGCCTATATAAGTTATTAACTTATTTGCAAAAAAAAAATTCTTATGGGTAGGCCTTATACTAATCAACATTAAATACAATCTCCCTAACTTGTAATTTCCAATTTAAAATTAAGTTACATAATACTTTATTAAAATAACTTAAGTTAAGTACAAGGGCCGTTTTTCATATAGCTCAGAAGTTTGCAAATAGGCCTAACTTAGGCCTACAAATTTGTGAATGGCAAAATTTGTGAACAGAATGACCCTATTTGCTGCTTTGTAGCTGACAAGTAAACTTATGCTTCCCTGTGTTTTTTTTTAATTTAAATTTTTGAATCCCCCGCACGTGTGGTGTTTTTGACCACACGAAACATATCCGATGCTGACATTCATCGCCAGACGGTTGAAGTTTATAACCCTAATGCAAAAATAGTGGGGAAAGTGTGGAAATAGGCTCTAGGGAGTTTAAAAATGGCCGTGAAAATGTTCATTTTAGAAAGAATTGTGTTATTCGTCGGTAACCAGTTTTTCAGAGGACCAGAAGGGAAAACGGATTTCACGGGCGTTTGCACTCCATGATCCATTTCCGGAAACCCTCACTCATTGCATTAGGACCCCTGCATTAGGAATATGATTTACCTCGGGTGATGAATATCTGTTATTTGTTGATGAATATCTTCATCCGATATCTTTTATACGTATGCCTAATCAAAAAAACATATTCACTGACCTTATCTTGCATGCAGCGGGAGATGTGATGGTGTACAAAATTTTAAAACACACAGCGAAGTGTATTTTGTCAGCTACAGAAATGCAAATGGTGTCATTCTGTTCACAAATGATGCAAGTTAGTGGTGATGAGCCTCATCGCAGCCTACAAGAGAACCACAGATTTATATACTCAAAAACAGCCTTTACTTAAAAAACCATCCTGATATAAACAATTATATATTTTCCTATTTAAAAATTTTTTGTTTTTATAGGCTGATTGTTACTTAAGGCAACTTAATTATTTTGAAGAGGTGTTATCATGTTCTCAAAAAAAAAAACTAGCCCATTTAATTTAATTTATTTATAATTCTATTCGTCTAACCACTTTACTATGAGCTGTAATATGAGAACACCATTCAACTCTCATTGGGACAACAATTTACAACTGATAAAAACTAAATTGCTCAACTTTTACCTAAACTTTTATTGCGTAGTGTGCAAACAATTTTAGGATGCGTTTAAGGAGCTGTTGAACAATCTTTTGAGACTAAATAGGCATAGGCATATTACTAGGCTAATTATTCTTATTTTACAGGGTTGTATCAATCTTTACTGTATTCATAAACAAAGCCTTGTTGAGTGGAGACGATGTGAAGTTAGAAGCACCGATTTTTATAGCATGGTTCCAGTGTGTCGTCTCAGCACTGATATGTTTTATTTTGGCTCGAATATCAAAGCGTTTTCCACATCAGTTCAGTTTCCCATCAGGAAACCCCTTTGATCTAGATGTGGCACGACAGGTAAGATTGTATAGTCTGAGATGACATGGTACATGTTAAGCAGTAGCCTATTACTGTAGACTGTAACTTTATAAACGAAACAAACAATTTATAGCTTCAAAATATTGACAGGTAGGCCTACTAGTTTTAGTGTGAATGTAACTTAACTGTCATAAACATTGTACCAGTACGGTATTCACTAATATGTTTGTAAAACTATTAGTTATCAACATTAATGTTTAAGAAGAGCATTAATCATCATGCTCTTTTAATCATTGCTTAAATATAAAGTACTGGACAGGTTTATTTTAAGAAAGAGCAGCAATTTTTTATGATTTGTTCCTGTATTGTTAATTTTTATCTGTAAGCCCACCCTGTGCTCAATTTATAAAAAAATTAGGTCCTGGAACTGAACCTATTTAATGTTATTTGTACCTATTTATTCTAAAATTTTTATCTTTCTGAAAGAGAGGTTCCGGAAATCCGTTCCTCCGCTTTCCCCCACAGATCGAGCACTGAGCCTACCTAATGATTAAATACAATTATTATAAAAACATAGGCTATTTTATATTTTACATTCAATATCTCATTTTTTAAACATTAAACTTAGGCATAACTTTATTCCAACAAATGATTGTACCCTAATTATTGTGAACACCGACTTTAGTTGTAAAAATGTTTCAAAACATTGCATAGCTGGATTTTATTGATCCAGTTGGAAGGAATTCATTTTTGTAGTTGCTGGAATATGGATTTAATTTTATAACATAGGGCTAAATGGTTTGAATCTGCCTTGAATGTTTTAAGCTTTTATTAGACCACAAACCTTTGGTTGGTTTCAGGTGATTCCTCTATCTTTGTTGTTTGCTGGAATGATCTGCTTCAACAATCTCTGTCTCAAATATGTTGGAGTGGCATTTTACTACGTAGGAAGATCGTTAACAACAGTGTTCAATGTACTTTTTACGTATTTAGTTTTACGTAAGTAATAGAACAAAAAATATTTATGAAGTTAGTTATCCTGTAAAAAAGAAGTAAAATATGTACTGTAATTTAAAATAATCTTAGTAAGGCTATGGCTATCTTGGTACGGCTATGGCTATCTTGGTAAGGCTATGGCCACACTTGGTGACTTGTTTGCTGTGACAAAAAAAGTGCGTAAAAGTGCGTACCGGTAACATTAAATTAGGTAGTACATGAAGACGGACTCTCTAAGAGACTCGTGACCCCTGGCAACACAAAAACAAATGCGTCCGGGAGCGTGTTTTTGTTGCGGCAACCAATACGCTTCACATGTTATCTTACAGCACGACTACAACACTTGGTGACAAGTCGCTCCTTCAATCACTCAGTTCCTGCACTGTTTTCATGTATATTGTTCAATTTTGGTCTGGCAGTGGTAAAATATAGAAGATATGCATCTAAAATACAAAAGTTTTCATCAACGAAATAACCCCCATGTAGCACAGATAGTTGGGCCAACGTTGGTAAATTGTGGAGCCACACAGTTGGCCATGGGTAGAAATGTCACCTCTTTAAACTGTTTTCCAACGAACCATTGTCCAACAATGGCCCAACCATCCAAAAATACTGATAGCCAACTAACTATAACACAACTGATATCCAACCAACCGTTTTATTTCACACAAAATAATAAATATTTAGTATGAAAAGTATAATTATTAGTTGAGTGAATTGATTAAATAGTTCATTGAAACAAATTTTGAAAAAAAAAGCTAGAATAAAATTTTTGAGCCTAGACGGGTCTCGAACCCGGGTCCTTCGACTTATGAGCCTCTTTACCTTACCACTGAGCTATCTGTGATTGTTGATATAGGGAGTTTTCAAGTGGTGAAAGCGTAGCCGACAGTTGCAATGGTCGCAATACTTAAAACATTTTTGATACTACACAGTATAATATGATTCTGTTTATCATTTAAGGCATCATAAGTAGTTATTATTATATATATATATTTTTTTTTTTTTTTTTTTTTTTTTTTTTTTGGTGGATCTAGAGAGGATAGGTACTGGGTTTGAATAAAGATTATTTAATTACCGTTAGATTATTAATGCTATTATAATTTACTGTTATGTGATTAATTACTCTTTCCCCATAAATTGTTGCAAATAAGTTAAAGAATATTAATTAAAAATATTATATTTGCATTATTATAATTATGTTGTGAAAGCTAGATCCAGAGAATGAAAGTCGTGTAAACTCAACTATGGACCATCGTTGGTCCAACAAAAGTATCTTTTGTTGGTCCAACGGAGTGAAAAACGGTTGGCTTGATGTATGATACCCAGCAATGAATATTAATGTATTTCATTAACAATGAACCAATGTTGGTCCACAGTTGTAAATATTGGTTGGCCTAACTATGAGATATACAGTTGGACAACGGTTGGTTGGTTGTGGAAGCTCCAACCAACCATCGACCAACTGTCCCACAGTTGGCCAACGTTGGCCCAGCCATCTGTGCTACATGGGCCTTGTGTATATGAGATGTGCTTAAGGATTATGTAGGCCTACCATAGCCTATATTCTCTTCTGATGCAATTGAAATCCAAAACCTTGTGTATTATTCACAACGTCATGTTTCATCTTCAATGTAATTTGCTCCTCGAAGCTATGGTCATCCAAAAATACTACACACAATTTATAATTTGAAAATCATTTTATTAGGGTGTGATGTTAAACTATTTTTCAGGGAATTTATTCCATATCTCCAGTTCCTCTTCCTTCTTAGATATTTAATAAATAGCAACAGGAAGTATTAGACAATTGTGACGTTCGCAGTTGGTTTCAGGAACAAGATTTAACTGTACCATTTATTTTTCTTCCTTTTAATTCCAATTATAAAGCCATACCGTAAATCACTGAACCTCCAGCGACAAAGTTGTTAATTGTGGCTGTAGTCTAAAAGGTTTACATAAAGATTATTCAGTAATTTAGACTAGAGGTCGTCCAGTGGTCGAAAACTCAACCAAAATATGTAATGTACAGAATTCTCTATTTTCACCCCAATCTGTAAATAAAACATGTGATTAGAATTTCTTCCATTTGTTTTGATTTTCTGTTTATATTTTATCGTTATTTTGTCACCAGCATGGCAACCCGTAGGCCTAAGGCCCATGTTAATTTTTTTAAATTTCAAATTCATTTCTTGTGTTTATTTTAGAGACTATTTTAACTTATTAAGCGATTCTACACATCTACAGCAAAATACCTTTCTAACAGTATGCGTAGATTTTACCTGTGATGAACACGAGCTGAGAGAAAAGGTTTTAAAGAAACATGCTTGCCTATTAATATATAGACTAGAGGTCGTCCAGTGGTCGAAACTCGACCAAAGATTTGTAATGTACAGACTTCTCTATTTTCACCCCATACTGTAAATAAAACATGTGATTGGAGTTTCTTCAATTTGTTTTGATTTTCTGTTTATATTTTGTTGTTATTTCGTCACCAGCATAGAAACCCATAAAGCCCATGTTAATTTTTTTCAAATTTCAAATTCATTTTTTGTGCTTATTTCTGAGCCTATTTTAATTTTTAAAGGGATTCTGCACACCTACGGAAAAATATCTTTCTAACAGTATGCGAAGATTTTTCCTGCGATGCACATGAGCTGAGAAAAAAGGTTTTAAAGAAACATGCTTGCCTATTAATATATAGATAGATGGTATGTTTTATTGTGTGTTACTTCATATTATGATGATCATAAAATCCAAATAATTTTAGAACAAGTTTTTGCTAGAGAGATACCCACACACGTAAAAGATTAGCAAACAGTAGCAAAATGACTGGTTTGAGATGTATCTTAAAAGTTATTCACCCATCCTGCCAAATCCTTCCAGGGTGTCCAATCTCAACTGGTGGACCTCTTCTCACTATACCTTCACTATACCTGACTGAATGGGATTCAAGTAACCCATAATCTATGGCTCTTTATTATCCAACTGGAGAGGCAAGGTTGAAACTGGACCCAGCTGTTCCTGATTATTGGACTTAAATAAATTATCCTCTGGCTAATGAAACAGCTGATCATAGTCAGGAACAAAGCTACACGAATCATCACACTTCATTCTACACTCATCATTCACTCATAATTGGGTTAAAATACGCACCTGAGTTGCGTTCCATCTCAAATGGTATCAATATTAATATAACTTTTTAAACTGCTCAGCCATTAATTAGAGCCAACAGTGAGCTAAAACACTCAGAGAGTTAAATAAAATTCATTAGTACTATAGTAGAGATAGTTATACACCATGGTATAGGATAAACACAAAAACTTATGGAAAATCAATGAAATTTAAATTTATATTTAATGGTTTTTTTACAGATGAAAAGACTTCAATACGATGCATCGTATGCTGTATCATAATCGTTGCGGGGTTTTTAATGGGGGTAAATGAAGAAAATGGATCAGGTAATAAATTTTTATCTTTATATCCTACATCAGTGGTCTCCAACCTACGGCTCACGGGCAAAGGTCTACTGAGAATATATTTTTATTTAATAGCATAAAAACCGATTATCATCTCCTGCCATCTCAGAACCACTCTTATATCCTACATTTTTGGCAATACTGCAATTGTCACACACAATCAAGGCAACACTCGTGAGCCTCTCTTGCGTGTGGTCTCTGTGAAACCGTGATTGTCACTTGCGATCACAAAGTTTTCTTAAGCATCTCTCACAGTCTCGGTGATACCGTGATCATCTCTGGTGAACATGATTTCCTTACTGCGTTGAAATTGAACCAATGGAACGTTGTCAATAAATTGTGGCTTATTGGCTATTGGCGATCATTCTGAAATCCCTTGTCCATACAGAACTCAGATATAATTACTCTGTTTGAAAATGAGTATAAGACACTTCTTTACTTACCATGTTTTTTCTCGATAAATAAAAATTAGTTGTAAACATGTCTACTTAGTGATCAAACTATCCGAATAAAGATCTCCCAAGTTAAATGGAATTTTACATCAATCCTAAAGGTCAAATCACCATCGCATTGTAAGCCTAATTTAACTGACATGTAAATGACAACTGCTATATTCTTGGTAAAAAATATCTGTAGTTTTTAATCAAATTGATTGAAATCAAAATATATTTTATTTCAAAAGATTTACATTTTATACACAAAATTAAAACAATAAAGTTAGTATTAGGCGGTACACTTTTTGTGTTATTTTTTGTTAAATTTTCTTATCATCATTTGCAGTATTTATTTTTTTAGAGGGGACTCATGTTGCTACACTAATATATCTTTGGCCTAGTCCGCCTAACCTAAAAAAAATGTACATTGTGAGACCCCTGACCTTCTTACATGCATTGAAGTTGGAAACTGCAAGTATACCTCTTATTATATGCTCAAGACTGAAGTCTCTTTTGATTTGTGTGTTTATAACCTGTTGTCTATCATTCAGAATGCTCATACATGATTGAATCTGTTAGAATTAATTATAATTAAATTGGTTAGTAATTTTTCAAATCTTGACGTTATTGTTTCAGGCACTTTGTCAGTGATGGGAGTTCTATATGGTGTGCTGGCCTCATTATGCGTGGCCCTTTATTCTATAAATACCAAGAAAGTTTTACCAGTTGTAAACAATCACATATGGTTGTTGTCGTTCTACAATAATGTTTATTCATCTGTGATATTCATACCATTTATCATCATTTACAAAGAAGTCCCTGTAATTATTAGTTATGAGAAGTTGGATTCTTTGTATTTCTGGACCCTTATGGTGGTCGGTGGTTTATGTGGCCTAGCAATAGGATACGTTACTTCGTTACAAATAAAGGTAAGATCTCAGATTTATTCGGAGGTACCTTTATGATTTATACTTGATTTCATTCATTGGGCTATACAGGTCTGAAATGGGATATATTCATGCTACCGAACATTAGTGGAAACGCCATGTTCATTGTCAGGAGGTTTGGTCAACTTGCCTCGTGACCATTGTGAAGGTGCTAAAGAACATTTTACATCATTTCAATACAGCCATGCTTTTCTAAGATAAATTGGTATTTCATACTCAAATAGTCAAATATTAATAAAAAAGCATGGTAAAATAAATAAAACTAAAGGAGGGTTAAATAATAAATATAATAATAATAAATAAAACTAATCCCCTCTATATGGACTAGCTGCTGCCAGGTTTTCATTCGAAAATAACATAGTTCTGTGAGCCAGTCATAGATTGCACTAGTGTCTAAAATTCTATTTTTGCACTTATTCTTTGTTACCGAGATAATTGAGGGGGCACAACAGATGCTATAGCTTACAAAAAGTCATCCTATAAGTTTGAATTGGTTGAAACACCTGCATATTCGTCAGAAATGAGTGGTCAATCTGTCAGTGTGGTTCACGTCAACTGGTCATCTACAACCATTTTGATTTAAAATCTGGCGATAATTCTTACATGGTGATGGAATATCTAGTTCTATCAATATAGTCTATGGTTTACCAGTCCTGGCTGTAGGCCTACTGTATTACTTGTGTTTTCAGGTGACATCGCCATTGACCCACAACATATCAGGGACGGCCAAGGCATGCGCACAGACGGTGCTGGCTACCTACTGGTACGACGAGAGCAAGACTCGACTTTGGTGGGTGTCCAACATGGTGGTGCTAGCTGGCAGCGCAGCGTACACTCGAGTGCGGCAACAAGAAGTCGAAGAGAGGTTCCGCCGGAGGCTAGTGGTCTGAGAGAAGACTTTCTGAATTGCACGGTTTTTATTGCACAAATATTTGACAAGGTGGTCGTTATGTGAACATTTTGTTTAATGCTCACAAATGGGTGTATACTAAATGATTGATGAACAAATAATCCTGACTGATCAAAATAGTGATGCAGCTTAGAGGAGTGGTACAGTAGGATTAAATCCAAGTGGGACAGTCTTAATGTTCCTGCGACAATGTATGTATATTTATTGCCATATCACACAAAAATAGTGTGGTAATAAAACACATATTAGCTTCAGTTTACACAATTTTTTGCAAGGAGGGTTGGATAACATGAGATTGAAAATCAGACTCTCTGTATTATGAATTAAAAGAGAGTTTGCAACGAGTGTAAAGAGATGTTTCTTTTGCAATAAAATTGTTAACAACCAAACAATTAAAGACAACCAATTCAAAACTGTTTTAATCATTCCTTAGAATCAAACTACAGTAACAACATTTTGTTATTTTGATAACTATTGGAAGCATGCTAAGTAGAAATAGTCCAGACAACAAGCAAGGAGTGTGTTATTTCCAGCAATCTAAATCAGTCTTTGACACTTTGCATTTATCCAAGCCAAAGAATATGTTAAACCATGTCATTATGTAAATTTTAAATTTAAAATTAAGTAATATAAGTTTTAAACTGTAAAAACTTTTCGTTTTCTGTTGTTGAATTTGCCATTTTTAGAATACGTTGTGTTTTGTAATACAGATTTGGTGATATTTATTAAAAGTTAGCTCATATTCTTTTGTGATTTATTCCCTGTGTTTTTTTTTTTTTCAATTAATAATTTTAATATTTGTAAATATTAAATTGGTTTTATTTTGTAATAATATCAGATAAATAACACATGTTATTTTGTGAATTAGTGCGTAGTATCATTGACTAATATATATAGTCAATGATAGTATGGGCAATGCCACGATTATCTTGTAATGTGACTCAGTGTTGTTTGAAGCCTTAATCTCTCTTACACACGATCCTATTTGACTCTAGCTCTAGTATTTAGGAACGCTCGTGCTCGTGAATCAAATACTTTTTTTTCATGTTATACTCATTTTTGTTACAGGAAAGAAGTTGGGTGCATTATTCAGAAAACACAAAGAAGACAAAGTAGTTTACTCATTTGTAAATAACATTTTTTTCTATTACACGCTTTTTTTCTATTTTAATTAAGCTTAAGTCTTGTTACATCGAAATACCTGTGGTTATATAAGTCACTGTTATATGTGCAGAACCTACCACGTGCAGCACGGTACCAGAGTCAACATTAATTTATTTAGATATATAGTTCAAAATAAACTGTAAAATTTTAAATGTTTGTTTTCATCAATAATTACTTCAAAATCAATTTAAACAATTTTTTCCAGGGAAAATTTTACCTAGATTTTATAGAGAGTGAGGGGGTTTAAAAATTGTGAAAATCGTGTACGGTACGTAATATCATAGTTAAAACGTACTCTGGGCCCTTAGGTAATATTATAGATGAAGCATAATCCTTAGTAGATTTCTAATTCTTATGGATCAGCTGTGGACAATTTTATTATTAGTTCTGTCCGGTGTTTTGTTTCAATTTGTTTCTCGTTATTTCAGTAATTTAAACCCTCGTTTAACCAAATAAAACGATCTAATCATGAACAATAACACGTCCCCTAGTTATATAAACAAAAGTAGAGCACAAATTAAAAAATTGAACCTAAAATAAAATAAACAAAATTTTGTCGGCCCTAGCAATCAGTGTCACCGGACATGAACTAAATACGGAAAACGAGCTTCAAAATTTACCATGGGATGAGATGTGTACTTGTGTTGGTTAGTCTATGGTAATATGTGGACGTCTTATAAATTTAATATTGGCGTTAAACGTGATAAAGATTACATAAACAGAAGACTTAATCCAATTTCCCTATTCAAAATGTCGTTTTATTGCAGTTAAGGCAATTAATGATTCATATCATCAATAGAAAAAAAGTATGTTACCAAATTTAAAAAGAGTTGTTGTATCCATTTATTTATTTATTTATTACAACAGTTTCTCAATGAATACAATTTTGGCTAAAGCTAGATTTACAAGATGGCAGAGGTTGAAAGTTCTAAATCCATATATAAATCCCAAAGTACCCATGAACTTTTGAGAAAACTAAATGTCACGCCCCCATAAACCATATACTTAAAATGTTTGTTGAAACCTTGCGGAAAACTATCCATTATTTCTATTTCAAAAATTTCCCTTTAACGTCATAATTCCTTTCTAAAGGGAACTTTCCATATACGTAATGTTGAAAATACCTCAGCTGTACTTATTTGTATGATATGTTCTTTCAATTTATTACCTTATTAAAATCAGGTGTGATTATTTGTTTTTTTTTTACAGTATTTATTTTTTTTTTTTACAGTCATAAGCGATGACAGATTTCAGTCATCCAAAGGCACTGGACGTGAAAACAAACAAACATCAAAATTGATGAGTCCGTCCACAATAATTTAAGAACAATGAATTTATTTCTGGTGCAATGATGACATTATTCACAGAAGTGTTAACAAAATAAATAAGAAATTAACAATAACTAGCTGTTACCCACGGGCTCCACCCCATTTTACTACATTAGTATTAATAAAACTATTGATTGGTTAAGTTAAGATGAAATAAACAAAGCAGAATACAAACAAATAATAACAGCTGAGGTATTTTTAACATTAGGTAAATGGAAAGTTCCCTTTGGAAAGCAATTACGGCCTTATAGGGCAACTTATGAAATAATGGATAATTTTGAGCAAGGTTTCTCGTCATGGCGAACATTTTAAGTATATGGTTTATGGGGGTGTGACTTGTAGTTTTCTCAAAAGTTCATGGGTACTTTTGGCTTTATATATAGACTAGCTGTTGTACCCGTGCTTTGCAACGGGAAGAGGACACAAAATAGAAACATTTTAATCATTATCTCTTGCATATAATAGTTACAGATCCGCCAACGCTTTTAGAAACAAAATTCAACTTTTATAGCCTTAATAGAAACATTTAAGTTATGATTTAAACATTTAAATCTGGTAAGTAGTGGATACCACCATTTTGGTTTTGATTAATTTTAAATCTTGTAGATGCTGATATGAGAAAAACTGACCAAATCTTCAAGTAAAACTTGAACATGATTTACCAGATTTACCTTCATCTCCCTTAGTTACAAATCTTTTAATTTATTATTGACATTTTAAATTTCAATTTTGAAGTTGCAAAAATACTAATTATTAAATTTAAATATCTTTATATTAAACCATAGATAAAACATACGTTGCTTAGTCTATGATTAAACTCTTATTTATATTAATTCACAAATCCTTTCATCTTCAGTTTTTTCACTCACAATAAATCATTAGCAAAACTAAGTCAGCTGTTATAAACTTTAGAATTATTGCTGTGCCTTATCAATACAGTCTTTTGAAATATTAAAGAAACTATATCCATAGGTACTATAAAAAATTTCAAACAAATAATTTAGCATTAATGACAGCAGACAAAACTAATATGATTATCAAAGCATCAAGGACTAAAAAATGTAATAGCAAATACAGCATATGTTTCATTGCATCTCTGATTCTACTATACAAAAATATCAACAAACAACTTAATATACACACCAGTTCTTTTAATCAGTTCCATCGTCCATTGCCTTTACATTTTCACACTTACCATTAGGAAAACATAGTAACAGATATTTCATTGATTTTAGAAACAAAAGAACACTGTGTACTGCTTAGTTTTATGATATTTTCCTTGGTTTAATTTAATCAGTGGTGTGGCAAAACACAAACAATAAATTTATCAAATAAAGTAAAATTTGAACTGAAAGCTATGTTAAGATAAAATAAGAATATTTTGTATTACCGCACATATACAATAGATTTTAGAAAACAAAAATCAAAGACAATTTAGTTATTGATGGTATTCTTTAGTTTAATTTAAGCATAGGATTAGCAAAACACAATAACTTAATTTACCTAAATATACATATAAAAAACAATGTGATGTGCAAATTATAGTTAATCTAACACATGTGAAGCAGTTTGAATTTATTTAAAGTAGCCTCCAAATTCATACAAAACATCTATACATTGTAATTTTCATACTGTTTCCATGAAAACATATCAATAACATTATTTTCACTTAAGATTATTAACTTAAGACGCTTTAAAAAATCCAAAGCAGAGCCGGAGTTGATACAGCAACGGTTATAAAATCTTTTTTTTCTATATTCATTGACATAGTTTTAGAATAAATAATCCATGATAAAATGTTAGATCAAAATAAACCTACCTCATATTTATGGAAAATATTATGTCTTTGTATCAGCTGTCTGAAATTGTGAAATATGCAGTTTAGCAGTTCTTCTTGTTTATATTTAAATGTCAAAGCAAATGTAAACAAACATTGTTAGTGTTCTCATCACAGCCATGGAGACCAATCAATATTTACTTTTAAAATGTTCACCTAAGAACTTTTAAAGCCAAAGGGGCAAAGCCTACGGCCAGTATCGAAATGTGAATAGTCCTATAATGGCCCTTGGTATGGTAACTATATTTTTGTAAAATTTAAGCCCAGTTAGTTCAGTAGTTTTTGCACCTATTAGTAATACACATACAGAAGGACACCATTAGATTTTTATATAATAGTATAGATATAGATATAGATTACTGCATTCTGTTTTGTTTATTTCAGCTTAACTTAACCACTCAATAGTTTTATTAATCTATCTATCTATATATTAATAGGCAAACATGTTTCTTTAAAACCTTTTTTCTCAGCTCGTGTTCATCGTAGGGAAAATCTGCGCATACCGTTAGTAAACTATTTTCCTGTAGGTGTGCAGAATCCCTTTATAAATTTAAATAGGCTCAAAGATAAGCACAAAAAATGAGTTTATAAATTTGAAAATATTAACATGGATCTTATGCGTTACCATGCTGGTAACGAAATAACAACGAAATATAAACAGAAAACCAAAACAAATGGAAGAAACTCAAATCACATGTTTTATTTACAGTGTGGGGTGAAAATAGATAAGTGAGTACATTACGTATTTTTGGTCGAGTTTCGACCACTGGACGACCTCTCGTACTTATAAAGTCAAACGAGCTTCCGGTAACAGCTGGTAAGTAATTCATGCTAATTCAAACTATGAACTATAACTAAATAAATAAGTAACTGTACTATTTTACCAAGAATTATGTGGATGGACTGTTTTATGTCATAACTCAAACCAAGGCCCCACTAGAAAAAAACAGGCCATGCTGCAGCGCGGGTAGCGCAGCACTACGTCACAGTGGTGGATAGTACTAAACTCTTACCATTAAAATCTTACATACAGCCAGCTTGTTTATTTACCTAAAACATATGGGAATGGTGATGGCAATGAATTTATCAATGCAATCTATCCACTAGTGTGACGTCATGGATCCTGCAGCATGGCCTGCTTTTTCTAGTGGGGCCTTGCTCAAACTCAACTAACTTTATGTACCTTTTTCAAACATAGAATAACAAATAAACATATGATTAAAATTAACAGAAATTAACCCTTTACTTCCCATACTATCCTTTTGGATACATATTATTTCTCATTTTTTACCTCTCTGTAGGTAGAGATTTGACACTGAGCTATAATTCTAACTGGAGGTAGCACTGAATGTCAAAGATGCGTGTCGCCAGCCGCCATGTTTGCGTGAGGTGGGTGTCCATAAGAAG